TACATATATTCATAAAGATTACCAAAGTACTTTTAATAGCAAAGTTATGGGATTTTTACAACTTTTTCTTTCTTTTTATTGGTTGTTTTGGTCTTTGCTTTCGTTATTTCATTTAAAAAATCCCATAAATACAACGTGACAGAAAATCTTGTACTCTACTGCATCTTCTGGATTCTTGTGGTGAGGGTGGGGATGCGAATAAATTGATGAGAATTCTTGTGGGAGAAAACTAGGAATTCATGTTGTAGTAGGAGAATTTTATCTGATTGCAATGAATTTTCACAACACTATATCTTACATTGACTGCTTGTGGCAATTTCAGGACTCTCCTCACTTGGTGAAGTTGTTCCTAAAGATGAATCATTCTCCCCATCTAGAGTCAAGTATGAATTTCAGATTCTATAGTCTGTGTGCATGGTTTATTATCAATTATGTCTCTAGCTCATCTAATTGTCACTTTCTTCTTTGCATTGTCGTCGTTAGAGTTGAAGACTCGCATAAAAATGGTCGTTTAGGCCGTTTAAATTCTATATCCAATGCGGATAAGACCGGTACTTGGTTCTCTTCAAATGCAATGTTTACTTTTCTTCGTCAAAGGATATGAATTCGTCGAGTCATTAACGGCATGGATTTTGCAGGAACCACAGGCATAAAGAAGCCATCCAGCAAGGCGCAAGCCAAAGACCAGAATGTACCTGTAAAATTGGAAGGTAGGGCGGGCAACTTTTTATTTATGACTGAAGAAATTGGTGAAGGAATTGATCAGTTTATAAAAAGTAAATTAATTGTTTGCAGATAATCATTTGGGCAGAAATTTTGGAGGCAAGAAACCTAAATCTTTGAAGGATGATGGATCCTCGTTGATGAAATTAAGTGGATATAACCCCAAAAGGCAAGAATTTGATCCTGAATATGATAATGATGCGGAGCAACTATTGGCTGATATGGAATTCAAGGAAACTGAAACTGAAGAAGAGCGCGAACTTAAGTTACGTGTTCTGCGCATCTATGGCAAGAGGTACTCTTCCTTTCCTCTGTCACATGTTTGATATTTCCTTCAGTTATCATATACTTTTCAAAGTCAACTTTCAACAAATAATGGCAGGCTTGATGAGAGAAAGCGCCGCAAGGATTTTATTCTAGAGAGGAATTTACTCCAGCCAAGTGAATTTGAGAAGGATTTATCTCCAGAAGAGAGAGATATATGCCGACATTATGATGCAATTATGCGCTTCCTCTCCAAGGAGGAGCACGAAGAATTACTCAAGACTGTCGTCTCAGAACATAGATTTCTGAAAAGAATACAAGAACTCAAGGTGGGAAACTTGGCTCCGTTAATTATTACAATCTCCGTTTCATTTTATATGACATTCTTCCCTTTGTAGTCTGTTCCAAAGAGAATGGCACCATTCTATATTTAGAAACCCTTTAAGTTTAAACTTCTCATTTTACACGTAACGACATGCTCTTATAGCCATAAAATGTCATGACATCTTTAACACCACAATTTCTAAATGTTACTTTGGCATGTTTCAAAAGCCTTTCTTTCCTAAATTATATGCCAGTCAAACACCGTCATATAAAATGAAACAGAGGGAGTACCTCTTTTGTGAAACTAAATTATATGCCAGTCAAACACCGTCATATAAAATGAAACAGAGGGAGTACCTCTTTTGTGAAACTAAATTATATGCCAGTCAAACGCCGTCATATAAAATGAAACAAAGGGAGTACCTCTTTTGTGAAACTAAATGTTGGCATTTGGATAAGTTCTTTCTAGTTCTCTACCTTTTCCATTTTTGCTCATTAACCTTATATAGAAGGTAGGTGAATTTTATAAAATTAGAACCATATGTTATTTGACTAATCTATGACGCAGTAGCAAATCGTGATACAGAATCACTGTCTATACTGTTACTAGTTATGCAAGGTCAAAATTATGCAGGAAGCAAGAGCTGCTGGTTGTCGTTCTTCTGCTGAAGTCGAAAGATACATTGAAAGGAAAAGGAAGAGGGAAGTTGAAGAAGGCGTTCCCAGAAAAGAAAGTTCTCAGATTGGTCCAACAAGCCAGGAGATCTGTCAGGGCAATTTGAGTTCCATCACCGATTCGGGCATTGCAGCTTTTTCTGCAGGAGAACTGTTATCAGAACCTGTAAGTTGTCAGATTACTGCTTTTGAAAGGAATTCTTCAGTAACGCAACTTGTTTGATTCTTGTATTTATGTCTAGGACTCAGTAAATGGAACACTTCAATCTAAAGAGAGAAAAAGGTCAAAAACACCTTTCTAGTACAACACAAAATATCTTTATTTAGCATCCGTTATACTTTGGGGCCATTCATACCCTTGTTGTTAGCAAATCTTTCTCGTGTTTGCGCATGTCCCCCTAATGGAGCTCCAACTCGAAGCATAACGGGATTTACTTTTAAACCATAGTCAAAAGTAGTGCGGTAACTTTTTCCAAAATATTTTGACACCTTGAATTTACCTGGTTCGTGCTGGAGGTCCCTTAAAGTCAAGGACAAACATGAGACAATGAGCTAAGGACAAGAGTAAGAGTGGCCCGAAAGTATAATGGAGGGTAAAACTAAGAAATTCTGTATAGTAAAAAAGTAAAATTGTACCTTGTTCCATTTAAATATGCGGGAATCATTATTCTACCAAGTACCTACTACCCTCCTCCAC